TTTCCCAGATCCAGGTTGCTGTCACAACTGAGCTGTAACACCGAGCTGTAACACACTTTTCTGCAATAGTCACATAAAAATATCCAGCACCCAACAAAGTATAAAATTCATGATGTCTGAACAATCAAGGGGAGAGAAACCACATAGTAACTGAAACAGGGGAAGTTTAGTACAAATAATAATTAATTATAACAGGGGATTAACTATTAACAAGTAAAGAGAACTCCAAAGAATATCCGAAGGCTGAGGGGAAGATCTAAAACTGGAATTCAAACATCATTGAATGAGGTATGTCTGCAGCCTGTTCCACAGTGAAGTTCACAGGGTCACCTGGGCCAGAGCAGGTCCACAGTTGCTGGGCAGAAACGAAACACCCTTCTGGGGTGCAGGTGGGTCAGTGTGGTGGGCACAGAACCATGGGGTTGGGATTGGCAAATAGGAATCTTCCCACTGGGGTATAGGTGAGTTGAGGGTAGACAACCTTTGTGGGGACCTGTGAGATTCACTGAGAATTCGCCCATGAGGGAGCTCCTGAAACTTGATGAGAAGCTGTCAATGGGTTGCTGCTAAAATTTGTGAATGAGTGACTGTCCTCCACACTCTACTGGCCACCCTGTGATAAGAATGAGAAGCCAGTGGACATACATCAGAACAAGGGCAAGAAGCCCCTTTACTACCAGAGTCCCTCCAGTGCCCTCTACAGACAAAGCTTAACACTGTGCCAGCTGCAAAGGAGAAATGCTTACAGGGTCCTGCTAAATCATCTCAGGGCAGGTGATGAAGAATTGATTTGGAGCTGAGAGGGAACAAATTGGAAACAGGTACAGTCACAGTCTGACATCCAATCAAAAATTTTCAGAGGTGCAAAGAAGAAAAAAAAAAGACCAAAAATGACAATAAAAATCAATCCATAGAAATAGACCCCAAATGACACAGATAATACAAGTTGTAGACAAAGACATTAAGACAGCTATTGTGACAGCTATGATATACCCTCTATTCAAGAAGGTAAAGGAAAGATTGAGCATGCTTAGCAGAGATATGGAAAATATGAAAAAAGACCCCCACTGACCTTCTACAGATGAAAAATACAATGCCTGGGGCAGCGACGGGGGTGAGAGGAATGCACTGGATGGTATTAATTCCAGATTAGATGATGCAGAAGAAAAGATGAGTAAAACTAAAGACATAGTATTAGAAACTATACAAAATGAAACCAGAAGGAAAAAAAGATTTAAAAAAATGAACAGAGGGTTATCTCCTTGCTTCCCGTTTCCCTGGTACAGGAATTGGGAAACTTTTTTATAAAGGGACAGGGAGTAAATATTTCAGGCTTGTGAGCCATATGGTTTCTGTTGCAACTACTCAACTCTGCCTATTTCACTGTGCTCGAAAGCCACCAAAGACAGTATGTGACCAATGGGCATGTCTGTGTTCCAATAAAACTTTATTTATAAAAACTCTCCCAAACGGAGGTAGAGGAGGAAGTTCCCTTCTGCTGCAAATGCTATTAAGCTTAAGGGAAATGCTGATGAGAACATTCAGCATGAACATGTGCTATTATTACCTTTGGGGCTGGGGGGGAGCGGGAAGGGGGGTGGCTCATCGTAACTCTCAGATTCTACCACCCTGCTCCGAGTTTTAGGAATAGCGAAACAATGATAATAGGAGCAGCTAACCTTACTGTGTGTCTGTTATGTGCCAGGTGTTGTGCTAAGCATTTTATTTGCATCCCCCAGAGACAAGTGGAAAAGGGATAGTGGAGTTTGCACTTTGAAACCAGAAGGACCTAAGCTGGAATCTCAGGTGAGCCATGATTAGCTATGTGACCTCGGGCAAGTGACTTAACCTCCCTAAGTATCAGAATCCTCACCTATCAGACAGTGCTGCCTTGACCTGTCTTCCTGGGAGGTCACGAGGATCAGATTTACCCCAAGCACAATGTCCGGCATGGTCATCTTACTACCATGTGTTCTTTATAATAAGTGGCGGATTTGTGGGGGACACACACGTTCGTCAGGGGATGCGCTGCTGTCTCCCAGTGTGGAAACATCTAAGTGCCACTGGCATCCATTCAAAAGACACCGCTTCTACTCCCACCCCCGCCCTGCGCCAGTGGAACTACAGTGCTGCTTCTCTGACAGCATCTAGACACGTGTACACATGGTAATTTTCAGGCGAGAGCTGAGCAACTAATTTCCCCACCTAAAATTTATTCTCCCTTCTTTTGTTATTATAGGCTGGGGAAAAGACATAATAAAAACCCTCCGAGTCTGGCAGAGAAAAACAACACGAAATGCAGTTTGAAACCGGGAGTAATCATTGTGTCTACAATGCTAAAAAAATAAATACATAAAGGAGTAGCTCTCAGAGCCAGTTTTAAGTCATGCGGAAGAGTCTGAGTTAGAAACAAGTCATTGTTTTCCTCCCTAAAATGCTGCTGGACTTTCTGTCCTGGTTTAAAACTCCACCTACCCCCAGACCCACTGGTCCTAGACCCAGGGGTGCCCTGTTGCTCCATCTAGTCAGCCAGTCCTGCGATTTCCTGCCTCTCACAGCCACAGGGCATGTTCATTAGTCCCCTGCCTCCAGGCCTTAACTTGGCTGAGCACCCTCCAAGCCAGCGCCAAGGGATCTCTCTGAAACACAGAGGAGAATATTATAAAGGTCACCATCAATTGCTCAGAACCTACCGGCCGTCTACCACATTGCTGGTTTCTTTCATTTCACTCCCAAAGCCTACAAGGTAGTTTTTACGAGCCCCACGTTACTGAGGAGGCAATTTGCTGATGTTAACTTGGTCAGGATCCCTGAGCTGATGAACAGCCGAACTGGGATTTGAACCCAGGTCTGGGGACTCTGAACTTTGTGTTCTTCTCATTTCATTGCTTTCTCTCATGGGCTTCCTGCTGACCACAGCTGAGTTTTCCAAACTCTGCCCTGGGGACGCCAATTTAAAAGATACAACAATAAGTTTTCTTTAAAACAACATCAGCAATCAAGTGTGTGTAAGTGGCAGGTCGGTGGTTGAATAAATTTGGGGCCTGCTCCCTATGCTGCCCGGTCTTGGAGAATCCCTGGCGTATTAGTCTATTAAAGGCTTTGATGCGTCCTTCAATTAAAAAATGAGAAAAGAAAAAAAAAACCAGTTTAACCTAGAGTTTTCCAAAGTCACTGTGCCATGGAACCCCTTTTCACTGAGCATTCATCACGATTGGAAGGAGGATTGGGGTTCCTCAGCACACAGTCTGGGAACCACCGGCCTTCCTGCTTTGGTTGCAGGTGCTTAGCCAGGTGCACAAGCCCCTGGGCCCAGCCTGCCTGCCTGCCTGTCCAGTTTCACCTCCTCTGGTGCCTTACGTCACCCTTCTGCTCCAGCCACACCTCCCTGCTCACATTTCCTCAAACGTGTGACGGGGCTCATGCCTCCTAGTCTTTGCATAAGCCTGTCCCTGCCCTGAGCCTGGAATGCCGTTTCCCCTCCTTCCCTCCTACCTGTGCCTTGAGGACCAGCTGAAATGTCTCCTGTTCCGGAAGCGGTCTCCTAAGGCTTCCAACCAGAACTAGTCACTCCCTCGATTGCGCCAGCCCCGGACTTAGCACTTAACTCTAGCACAGCACATCTCTCTAGGGAACATTTAGTTTTCCCATGGCTGTCTCCTGTGGCGGGGTTGTGAGCTTGGTGAAGGGCATCTCGTGTCTGCTTTACTTCAGAGCTAACACCTGGTACACAAGAGGTGTTTGCCAGCTGAATGTCCTATTGTTCAGTCTATGTTCTGTATAAATTTTTCTGATTAAAAAAGGAATTCATGCCCACTGTGAGATTTTAAAAAACATACATGTATATGTGATATATATTTAAAGAAGAAATACCCATAATCCTAGAGAGATCAGGTGAATGATTCTCAAACTGGTACTAGCATCAGAATGACCTATTCGAGCTTGTTAAAAACAGAGATGCTCAAACTGCAGCTGGGCCACCCAGCTTCTGTCCCAGTGTGTGTGCGCACGTGCATTTGATAAATGTCCATTTGATTCTAAAATGCACCCCTAGGGGAGGGTATAGCTCGGTGGTAGAGTACATACTAGCATGCACGAGGTCCTAGGTTCAATCCCCGATACCTCCATTAAATAAATAAATAAACCTAATTACCCCCCCAAAAACAAAAAAAGGTTAAAATTATAAATATAAAATAAAATGCATTCCTCATTAGGGGTCACTGCTTGGGTGATTTCCAATATTTTTTTGTACTACGAACAAGGCTGTGGGTGAATATCCTTGTTCATAAATCTTTGTCTAGGGTCTCTTTATTGCCCGAGGATAGATTCCTAGCCATGGCAGGACGGAGCCAAAGGCAGGGAGGTTTTCACGGCTCTTGGAGGAGCGATTCTACAGGGGCTGTGCCGCTCCCCTCTCCCGCCAGCGGCTCGTGAGGGTGCTTGTCTCCCCACACCCCCATAATTATGACCACTTTGGACAAGGAAGGATACGAGAATAGTTGCTATTAAATGTGAAAGAAAAATTGCCTAGCTGGGTGGTTTCTTAAGAGGGACGTTTAGCAAGCCTTTGCAGTGTAATTACTGTTTCATCAAGCCTGGGAACGCACAGTCATTATTTTCTTTTTGCGCACGCTTGGTAATTTTGCCAATGCTGTGAGCACCCGTCACTTCGTCTGTGTTCCCCGGCTCATGCTGCGTGTGTGTTTTCCTAGAAAAGCTTCAGTCTCTCTCTGTTTCTCTGTCTCTCTCTCTTTCTCTCCCTTTTGCCGAGGTATATAGCATTTGAGTTTCCTTTCCTCCTCCCCAGAGGCTCAGCTAATGGGCAAGTCCCCTCCCCTGAGATGCTCACACCCACCGTGCGGGCAGGGGGCTGGCTGCCCACCACCTAGAATGGCGCTTAAAGCTCAGTGCCCGTGGCTTTCATGTCTCACATTTTCTCCCTTTCTGCCTCCACTCACCTCTGTCAAGTCAGGGCAGAGTTTCTCAAAGTCTGGACCCACCTGCAGCTGAGGAGAAGGCCTGCTGGACCAGCTGGTTCCTGCCTTAGAGTGGAAACGGCCACGGCTCCCTCCGCAGTCCTCAAGCAGTGTCAGGTCTCTGCAATCTACCAGTACAGTAGGGAAAAGAAGTTTCCAGGAGGAGGGAACTGCCCAGGACCAAATCCAAAGGAGGACAATAGCCACTCAAATGTCAAATGTCCTCTGGCTTGCTGGTCTCAGGCCACAATGCTTGCCTAGAAAATAGTCACACATGAACGTGTTGCTATTTGCAAGGACTTTCCCAGCTTTTTGCAATGGGGGAAGATAACACAATAATGGGCAATGGGTTAAATAAGTGAAGTCCCTGCATATTATGGGATACCAGGCAGTTGCACTAGGCAGTTAAAAATAATGAGGCAAAAAAGACAACAAGATAAACCTGTGTAGACGGCGGGACAGTATCTACTGTTACATGAAAACAGCAGGCAGAAATAAAATACGTTCAGAATCATCCCCTTTATGTAAAAGGAAACAATTTTTCAACCGATATTTAATAAGGACCTATTATATTCCAGGCACTGTGGATAAAAAGGCAAAATCACACAAACCTTGTCCCTCACGAAAAGTGCATAACCAGGGTTTATTGCTAAACAGAAAGAAGCCTGGAAGGAACTGTTCACCCTATGTGCAGGGAGGGTGTTCGGGAGCAGGGAAATGGTTTTAAGAAGGGTTTTCATATTTTACCCTCTATCCTTCTGTAGTCTTTGGATTTTTTTCCACAATAAATATGCATCATGTTTGTAATGTAAAGTAATACAGAATGAAGAAGTGAAACAGAGGAGACAGGCAGAGATGGAGCCCGTGAAACAGCCACGGCCAGAGACACAGGCCTGAGCTGGTGTCCCTCGTCTGCTCCTGGGGACGCCATCCCTTTAGGTTTCCCCTCTGCTCAAAAATGTGATCTTTAATCTCTCCAGGGAAACCAGCCAGAAAACAGAGATAAACATGGTGAGGGAAGGTTCAAATTTACCCCCGCTGTTATCACTTGGTCCACAGGTCCCAGGTCCCCTGAAGCAGTTTCTTGAGACTTAAAATGTGTCCACAGGTGATAGCTCTTCCTCTTTTCATTCTGAAAAATTTCAAGCCTTCAGAAAGGTTACAAGAAATAGTACAATGAACAAGGGTATATTCTTCACCTAGACTCACTGGTTTTTAACATTTTGCTCATTTTCTTTCTTTCCTTCTTTCCTTCCTTTCTTTCTAGTATTAATTTTAATTTTTGCTGAATTGTTTGAAATTTAGGTACAGACATCAGGATGCTTTATTCCCAATGCTAAGAATGAGGACATCCTACATAACCACAGTTTAGTATCACACTTGGGAAATTGAACATTAATACTATCCTAGTATCATATACATTCCATACTCAAAAGTTCCCAACTGGCCCAATATTGTCTTTTAATAGCTCCTTTTTTAAAAAGGCCTGGCTGGCATCCAACCCAGCCTCACGTGTTGCAATTAGTTGTCCAGCCTCTTTAGTACCTTTTAA